ACGATGCGCATGTGCATTGACTATAGACAGTTGAATAAGGTGACATTGAAGAATTGATATCCTCTGCCTAGGATTGATGACCTATTTGACCAGCTACAAGTTGCCTCAGTGTTTTCTAAGATTGATTTGAGGTCCGGTTACCACAAGTTGAGGATTAGGGAAGCGGACATCCCTAAGACCTCATTTAGGACCCATTATGGCCATTATGAATTTTTGGTGATGTCATTAGGGTTGACTAATGCCCCTGCTGCCTTAATGGACTTGATGACGCGCGTGTTCAGGCTTTATCTTGATTCCTTCGTCATAGTCTTCATTGATGACATTTTGATATACTCGCGGAGTAAGGGTGATCATGAGCGGCATTTGAGAGTTGTGCTCCATACTTTGAGAGATCAGCAGCTTTATGCCAAGTTCTCAAAGTGCCAGTTTTGGTTAGACTCTATAGCGTTCTTGGGGCATGTTGTATCCAAGGAGGGCATTATGGTAGATCTGGCGAAGATTGAGGCTATTCGTGATTGGGCTAGGCCCACCTCAGTTACTGAGATTCGGAGCTTCATCGGACTAGCAGGCTACTACAGACGATTTCCTGAGGGTTTCTCTATCTTGGCAGCACCTCTGACCCGGTTGACTCGTGTTGATGTTCCATTTGTTTGGTCAGAGGAGTGTGAGGCGAGCTTTTTGAGGCTCAAGGAGTTATTGACCACCGCTCCTATATTGACTCTTCCAGTTGAGGGCGAGGGCTTCACGGTTTATTGTGACGCATCCGGCATTGGTTTAGGTTGTGTATTGATGCAGCAGGGCCAAGGCTATTGCTTATGCGTCGAGTCAGCTTAAGATTCATGAACGCAACTACCCCACCCATGGCTTAGAGTTGGCGGCGATAGTTTTCGCACTTAAGATTTGGAGGCACTACTTGTATAGAGTTCGATGTGAGATCTATACCGATCATAGGAGTCTTCAGTACATAATAAGCCAGAGGGACCTTAATTCGAGGTAGCGTCGTTGGATTGAGCTCCTGAAGGACTATCACTTATCTATTCTCTATCATTCGGGAAAGGCGAATGTGGTAGTGGACGCCTTGAGCCGAAAGGCGGTGAGTATGTGTAGCCTAGCCTTCTTATCTGTTGAGGAGCGACCCTTGGTTATGGATATTCAGTTCTTTGCCAATAGCATGGTTCGGTTGGATATCTCATATCCTAGATGTGTCTTGGCCCATATGGGAGTTCAGTCTTCCTTGCTTGATAGAATCCGTGGTAGTCAGTTTGAGGATGAGGCCTTGGTGGCCCTTAAAGGTCTAGTGTTAGCGGGTGATGGTGGTCAGGCTATCTTAGATCTTGATGGAGTGTTATGATTCGTCGCCCGCATCTGTGTTCCGATAGTTGGAGATTTGATTCAGTTGACACTTTCTGAGGGCCATTAGTATAGATACTCTATCCATCCGGGCACAACGAAGATGTATCGTGATTTGAGACAGCATTACTGGTGGAGGGGCATGAGGAGAGATATTGCTGACTTTGTTTCCCGTTGCTTGTGCTGCCAGTAGGTAAAGGGTGAGCATTTGAGGCCTGGTGGTGAGTTTCAGAGATTACCCATTCCGGAGTGGAAATGGGAGCGTATCACTATGGACTTCATTATGGGGTTGCCTCGGACTTCTAGAGGTGCTGACAGCATTTGGATCATCGTTGATCGATTGACCAATTCAGCACATTTCCTTCCTGTTCAGTCTTCATTTAGCGGCGAGAGGTTGGCTCGTATCTACATTCGGGAGGTGGTTCGACCTCACGGGGTGTCAGTTTCTATTATATCAGATCGGGGTTCTCAGTTCACGTCTAGATTTTGGAGGACCTTTGAGGATGAGTTGGGCACTCGAGTTGACCTTAGCACAGCTTTCCACCCGCAGACGGATGGCCAGTCGGAGCGTACTGTTCAGGTACTTGAGGATATGTTGTGGGCCTGTGCTATAGATTTTTGAAGTCAGTGGGACCAACTCTTACCTTTGACGGAGTTTGCGTACAACAACAGCTACCAATCTAGTATTTAGATGGCCCCATTCGAGGCGTTATATATGGTACGAATTGTCGCTCTCCAATTGGTTGGTTTGAGTCTACACAGCCTAGGCCGCTGGTACAGATTTGCTTCCAGAGGCCCTGGATCAGGTGAGGGTGATTCAGGATAGGCTCAGGACGGCTCAGAGTAGGCACCAGAGTTATGCGGATCAGAGGGGCCGACCTTTGAGATTCTCTGTTGGTGATCGGGTATTCCTCCGTGTGTCGCACATGAATGGCGTTATGAGGTATGGGAGGCGGGGAAAGCTTAGCCCCAGGTACATTGGGCCTTTTGAGATACTCCGGACAGTTGGGGAGGTTTCTTATGAGTTGGCCCTACCTCCAGAATTTTCAGCCATCCACCCGGTTTTCCATGTCTGATGTTGCGGTGATATCTTCCTAATGAGTCCCATGTTCTCTAGTATGATGCAGTCGAGTTGGATGATCATTTGACATTTGTAGAGGAGCCATTTGCCATTCTAGCCGATGATGTGAGGAGATTGCGCTCAAGAGCCATTCCTTTTGTTAAGGTCCGTAGGAGGCATCGTCCAGTCGAGGAGGCTACCTGGGAGACCAAGCAGGAGATGCGAGAGCTGTTTCCCGGCTTGTTTGAGTCTTTCAGGTACTTCTTGATCCTTTCTTTCGTGGACGAAAGTCCTTTTTAGTAGTGGATATTGCAATTACCCTCCAGGTCATTTCTGTGTCTTGCTTTCTGTGTGTCATTTAGGGCGTTCCTGTAGTGACCCCAAGTCATTTATGAGTTGCTTGGACTAACAGTTCGGTCACCTGCTCGTTTGTTTGGTCTTGGTGCGAGTTTTTGTGTTTTGGAGCTTATGAACTTTGAACGATCATTTCCAATCAAAAGTTCAAGAAAATGACATCAGAATCCAATTCTGATGATTCCATCAGCTCCGGAAGGGTCATTTTAGGCTAGTAGCATGGTCGACATTACTCCCGAGATTTTCAGTGTGAGTCGGCGCGATTAGGCGTTTTAAGTTTAAGCCTAAGTTTGACTTTGGTCAACATTCTGAGTAAACGCGCTCGGATGAGAATTCCGTCAGCGCGGTTAGTTCTGGAATGTCTATTTTGGTCTAGATTGACCCTTATTTTGTGTCCCGAGGTTTTTCATATCTTTCCGAGCCCTTTTGTGGGATTTCACTTATAATTGTCTTTGGAAGTGGGACCCACTTTTTATCGAGATGACCTCTGATGGAATTTTCAACTACGCCGTTGAATCCGAAACATCAAATTTGGTATGGTTGCACATCTCGTTTGCGTGCACGGGGTTGCTAACAAGTTCAGAGCACCCCGTCGGAGTTTTTAGTTTTGGAAAAAAAATACAGCAATTCTACTATTTAATGCAGAAAAACAGCAACCTTTTGCAAACCTTCAAACTCTCATAACTCTCTTATATTTTGTCTGAATTAGGTGATTCGAAGTGAGGGAGCTTCGTATATTCGGTGGCTTTACTGTAAAGTGTTCGGAAATTGTTGGGTGTGCGTAGTTCGGAGTAACTTCGCGATTTACCTGACTGTTGTACCCCTTTTTCGAGCCTTTGTTTTTGGCATTCTTGTTTTGGTCATATCTCTCTCATTTTAGCTCGGTTTTGGATGATTCAAAGTCCCACGTGTTGATAATTGTCGAGACTTCGTCTTAGAGTTATCAAAGATTGCTGGGCACCTTTTGATTCTCGTTTATTCCGAGTTTGGACTACTGCTGCTTACTTTTTTTTAGTTGATTATACTGTGGTTTCTTGTTTTTTGGTTTTTGCTCTCTTGTTTCGCTTTCGTGCAGCATGTGTCTTATTGGTTCCTTAAGATCTCACTTGTTTCACACTTTCGCAGGATGGCTCGCACGCGAGGTGGCGTGGCCGGGGGTGACGCACCCAGGCCTGTAGACAGAGCCCAGCTTGGGGTTGACGCCAACCCCGAGGTCGAGACAGGGCCGTAGCATCAGTCTAGGAGAGAGAGGAGGATCTAGAGCTAGTAGAAGACCCTTCAGCACTTCGTATACCATATCAGCCGGTGGAGCCGGGGCCAGCCCGCCGTCATCTGGACTAGTTCTGACCCCAGATCTCCAGGCCGCTATTGCTTAGCTCTTAGGTGTGCTTGGGGGAATGCAGCAGCCACCATCCCAAGTTACACCAGAACTTGTACCGCATGATCAGCCCACAGTGCGGGCACCTCAGCTCCAGGTACCACCCGAGGGAGTACAACCCTTGGAAGCGAACAAACCTATGCCACTTGAGGACCAGAAGATGCTTGGTGTGTTTCTCAGGTTGACACCACCGAGGTTTTCTGGGGCAGTGGGTTAGGATGCCCACGAGTTTCTTACTACTTGTGATGAGAGGCTTCGTACTTTGGGACTTGTGGAGTCCAGAGGGGCTAACTTCATTGCTTACCGGCTAGATGGGCCAGCCAGCCAGTGGTGGCGCACATTTATTTAGACCAGTCCAGTTGGATCTCCACCAGTATCAGTGGTGGCGCACATTCATTTATACCAGTCCAGTTCGGAAGTTGGTGGGAGCGTATCACTATGGACTTCATTGTGGGGTTGCCTCAGAATTCTAGAGGTGTTGACAGCATTTGGATCATCATTGATCGATTGACCAATTCAGCACATTTCCTTCCTGTTCAGTCTTCATTTAGTGCCGAGAGGTTGCCTCGTATCTACAATCGGGAGGTGGTTCGACCTCTTGGGGTGTCAGTTTCTATTATATCAGATCGGGGTACTCAGTTCACGTCTAACTTTTAGAGGACCTTTGGGGATGAGTTGGGCACTCGAGTTGACCTTAGCACAGCTTTCCCCCCGCAGACGGATGGCCAGTCGGAGCGTACTATTTAGGTCCTTGAGGATATGTTGCGGGCCTGTGTTATGGATTTTGGAGGTCAGTGGGATCAGTTCTTACCTTTGGCGGAGTTTGCCTACAACAACAGCTACCACTCTAGTATTTAGATGGCCCCATTCGAGGCGTTATATGGTACGCATTGTCGCTCTCCAATTGGTTGGTTTGAGTCTAGAGAGCCTATGCCGCATGGTACAGATTTGCTTCAAGAGGCCCTGGATCAGGTGAGGGTGATTCAGGATAGGTTCAGGATGGCTTAGAGTAGGCACCAGAGTTATGGGGATCGGAGGCGCCGACCATTGAGATTCTCTGTTGATGATCTGGTATTCCTTCGTGTGTCGCCCTTGAAGGGCGTTATGATGTTTGGGAGGCGGGGCAAGCTTAGCCCCAGGTACATTGGGCCTTTTGAGATACTCCGGACAGTTGGGGAGGTTGCATATGAGTTGGCCCTACCTCCAGCATTTTCAGCCATCCACCCGGTTTTCCATATGTCGATGGTGCGGCGATATGTTCGTGATGAGTCCCATGTGCTCCACTATGATGCAGTCGAGTTGGATGATCGTTTGACATTTGTAGAGGAGCCAGTTGTCATTCTAGCCAGTGATGTGAAGAGATTGCGCTCAAGAGCATTTCCTTTCGTTAAGGTCCGTTGGTGGCATCGTCCAGTCGAGGAGGCTACCTGGGAGGCCGAGCAGTAGATGCGAGAGCAGTTTCCCGGCTTGTTTGAGCCTTCAGGTACTTCGTGATCCTTTCTTTCGTGGACGAAAGTCCTTTTTAGTTGTGGATATTGTAATGACCCTCCAGGTCATTTCTGCGTCTTGCCTGCTGTGTGTCATTTAGAGCATTCTTGTAGCGACCTCAAGTCATTTATGACTTGCTGAGACTGACAATTCGGTCACCTGGTCGTTTGTTTGGTCTTGGTGCGAGTTTTTTGTGTTGTCGAGCTTATGAACCTCGAACGATCATTTTCGATCAAAAGTTCACGAAAATGACATCGGAATCCAATTCTGATGAATCCATCAGCTTCGAAAGGGTCATTTTAGGCTAGTAGCATGGTCGACATTACTCTCGAGGTTTTCAGTGTGAGTCGGCGCGATTAGGCGTTTTAACCGTTGATGAGAATTCCGTCAGCGCGGTTAGTTTCGGAATGTCGATTTTGGTCTAGATTGACCCTTATTTTGTGTCCCAAGGTGTTTAATATCTTTTCGAGCCCTTTGTGATTCGAAGTGCGGGAGCTTCGTATTTTCGGTGGCTTTGGTTTAGAATGTTTGGCCATATCTCTCTCATTTTAGCTCGGTTTTAGGTGATTCAAAGTCCCACGTGTTGATAATTGTCGAGACTTCATCGTAGAGTTATCAAAGAGTGCTGGGCACCTTTCGATTCTCGTTTATTCCGAGTTTGGACTTCTACTGCTTACGTTTTTTTAGTTGATTAAAGTGTGGTTTTTTGCTTGTTGGTTTTTGCTATGTTTTGAACCTGGAATTGTGTTCCATTTTCGAACATATGTTTGGGGTTCTGTTTAGGGTCTTTTGACGGAGTCAAATTCGGACAGTTCAGTGCGGGTCCTACGATTCCCGTTTTGACTCCAAATTTGACCCGTCTCCGTTTATTGTGATTTTGGTGTCTAAACGATCATACTAACATTGTGATCCTATATTTGATAGAGTGACAGCGTTCAAAGGTCGTTAGGGAAGGAAAAACTCCGGTAAAGTGATTTGGAGTGTGCGTGGTCGGCCTTAAGGTAGGCAACAACTTCCTTTCTTTTAGATTGAGCTTAATTGTGTAAGAACATGTCGATTGGACTGAATTGGGGGAGGGTACCAGTTTACTACCTTACTTTGATTAGATACCTCATATTAGGATCGATTGGCCATAATTCGGGTATAGTATCATGTTAACCGGTTTAGTAGAGTTGCATGCTTATGCGCTAAATGCTATTGTATGCTTGTATGCTATGTATTGTATGCCTTGTTCATCCTTAACCGTAAGCATGATGTCCTTAGTTTAGGTTAGGCTAGCTTTGCCTTAGACTTATGACCCGTGTGGGCTGGATAGCCTTGACTTGTTGTCGACGTCGTTAGGATGACTTAGCTCCTTGTAGACCGGAATATCAGACTTGAGTCTGATAGTTTGAGCCTTAGATTAGGCGTCATCTCTACTTGCTTAACTTATGTATCTTCCCACTCTCATTTTGTGGTTCCGATGCAATCTCGAAGGTTTGGTGCTTCACTAGAGGCGTGGGATTGAGAGCGTAAAGGCTTGGAGCCGTTTCTGTGTTGTCTTAGAGTGGACCGCGTTCCACGGTGGTTGTTGTTGGATTGAATCCTATTGGAGATACCATTATCCCTGGGGTCGTTCTTTCTAGCTGGTTTGGTGCTTCACTAGAGGCGTGGGATTGAGATAGTAAAGGCTTGGAGCCGTTTCTGTGTTGTCTTAGAGTGGACCGCGTTCCACGGTGGTTGTTGTTGGATTGAATCCTATTGAAGATACCATCACCCC